GTGTGGGGGGAAAAAAAAGAACGAAAAAAAAAAATCAGAGAAGGACATGTGCCGCACGAAACCACCAGAGCCTTGCACCATCTTATTGCCTACCGTCTTCACCCAAATAGAAAATCGTACAAAATACGGTCATCAGTGTCGGTGACAGTGTGTTCTATTTGGGGGAAGACGAAACACGCTGCACTGCATACACAGCATCGAGCCGGCGATGCCCTCCCAGACAGAGGACACTGATCTTTTTTGACGAGGGCCCGCTTCCCTGCTTGTATAATAAAATTTCCGCTTTTATCGCGGGGAAAAAACAGAGAAAGAAACACAACAAGGTTAACAAAGCGTCGATCTACTGTACCATTACAGCATTTTTCTCCGGAAGGTTTTCTTTAACAGATGTTAATGAGACTACCGCCTTTGCCCAAAGAGCACGCAGGGTCATTTATGCCTGTCTCTACACGAAAGTTGCCCCCGAATACAGCTATAATGACCATGCACCGAGCAAAAATGAAGAGTGATAGATTTCGGTCACTCATACTTTCTGCAATCGACCATGTAAGTATCAATATGACCCAAATAAGGGAAGGAGAGGAGGAAAAAAAGCAGCAATATGACCCTCATCACCTCATAAACCAGCCAACAGCAACAGGAAAGCGGGGCAGCGGGGCCAGAGGGGGGGAAGGAAGTAGGGAGGGGAAGGAGGGGAAGGGAGTGGAAAGGAGGGAAGGGAGGGAAGGGAGTGGGACAGAGGGGTACAGAGGGGAAGGAAGGGGAGGAGAGGAGAGGGGGATGGAGGGAAGTAGGGATGAGGAAGGGAACGGAGGAGAGTAGAGGGGGAAGGGAAGGGAGGGAGAAGAGGAGAGGAGAGGAGAGGGGGGGGAGGGAATTGTGAGGTTAACCACCTTGTCCCCACCTACTCGTCTGCCTTTTTTTTTGGGGGGGGGGAGGGGAGTGCGGGGGGGTGAAAGGAGAGGGGTGACCAGCGAGGGCGTGGTTGTAGAAAGAAAAAGTGGAAAAAAGAAGCAGACATTAAAGGGTGTTCCACTCTCAGTCTCTCACTGATAACATCGGCCATCAAACGTTCATAAGACCCAACAATCATCTGTGCGGACCCTGCGTAGTCCGATTTGTGAACAACATTTTTACTTTTCCATGGATTTTATTCAGCCAGCTGACCAGTCCTTCCGGACATGCGCGAGGACAACAACAACACACGCACAA